GAGTGTCCTACAAGAGTGTCCCGCAAGAGTTTCCTACAAGAGTGTCCAGAGTGTCCCACAAGAGTGTCCCACAAGAGTGTCCTGCAAGAGTGTCCCACAAGAGTGTCCCAAATGAGTGTCCCACAGGAGTGTCCCACAAGAGTGTCCTACAAGAGTGTCCCACAAGAGTGTCCCACAAGAGTGTCCCACAAGAGTGTCCCGTAAGAGTGTCCCACAAGAGTTTCCTACAAGAGTGACCCACAAGAGTGTCCCACAAGAGTGTCCTACAAGAGTGTCATTTGGACATATGTAGCTTTTTGAACGTGTTTGCATTCGGGTTCGTGGGCTCCATCTTGTTTTAAATACGATATATAAACAGATAATAAACGAATGGGGTCACACAAATTTGTGTCTTTTCAATTGTAACAAGCTTACGATTCTTAAGGCCACCATTGCTTAGATAAGCACAGACATCACAGAGATCCTTTCCGGCCTTTCAGGTCAAGCAATGAACTCCTTGCTGGAGGAGCTTCAGAAGAAGTGTGAGCATGTGCATCATGTTCCTGGGGGAGGAAGCTCAATTGAGGAGGCCGGCGAAGGAGCGCAAAGCCTCATGGAGGCACTGAAGCATTTAAATCGGCTTCCAACTTCAGTTCAGGGAGCGATGGACGTCCCCGTAACAATGCACTTGTTGGGAAGGGCGCAGACTTTGCTCACTTGCTGCGTGGAAGCTGTGATCTTTAACAAAATGTCATTGTTTCCACCGTTGGCACAGCCGCGGAATGACTGGGACTTCGCGTCTGACCACCTTCCAATTGGAGCAAGGCTTCACTTCTCCAAGGGTAAAGAGCATTTGTCGTCCTTCAACATTGCTTCTTGGAACATTAGCCACAAAAGTGATGCGAGTTCAAAGGATGAGGTGCTGGCGATCAAGGAGGTGAAAGAGCTCTTGCATCACTCAGAGATTCATATTCTTTGTCTCCAGGACGGGAACACGCCAAAAAACGAGTCGATGGACAAGTACAGGGAGTCACGCGTACAGTGCGTAGATGGTCGTACAAGCGGCGATGTTGAGAGCCGATTTGCGAAGTTCGAAAGGAAAAAAAGAGATCAGGCCTAGGCCAAGGCCTAGGAAAGGTCAGGATTACAAATCGGCTACCTTTCTTTTTCATCTCGTCTCTTCTTTTCTTCCTGTAGGACTTCACTTGGTGTTTGTCATATTTCTTGAGCAAAACGGACCGATGCTCTGCAGTTCAGTAGGGATTGCTGCGCTAGTTATTCCAATCGAAAAAACCAGCGAGTCTGAGTTTCCACTAGGTCAGTGGGTCGCCATAGCTCACAGAGACACTTTTGCAAGTCAGGGACACTCTTGTTGTTTTGGATAGTTTTTTTGCTTTTGTTTGGCCTGGTTGATCGTGCACCTACGACAGGAGTGTGATCATGGCTTCTTAGAGGATCTCAGATCGAATCTTCCGAGTCCGTTCAAGATGCTTTCCAAAGAGGGAGCTGGAGAGGCGGGGCATCAGCGTTCTTGTGCTTCACCCGCACATTTCTTTCGTTTTGAATACCGAAAAGGAACAGGGAACTTCTTCAGCGTGTAGATGTAAGATGCCAAGTTTTCCCCAAATCTAGGAACCAAATGAATAGCTACTTAGTAGCTACCTAATTAAATAGCCGCCTTTCTAGTAAGAGTGGGCTTAAAAGAACCTAGAGATGTAGGGGGTCTTACCTTCACGCTTGTTAATCTTATAATATATCATATGTTTGTTCGGTAGCACAGTACAGGGACTGCAGATGCAGGTTTCGAAACGTATTGGCAGGGCAAGGTGGAGAAAAAGAACATAAAAGAACCTGTCGAGGTTTGTAGAACTGAGTGCGGAACAGGAAGAGTTCTGGAGCCACAGTTGAGATTTCGAGTGAAAGTACCGCAAATCTCGTGTGAATTAGTTTTGCAAAGCTTCCCCTATTTGGCCCTGCTAGAGCAAGTATCTTACAGTTTTTCAAGCTGCATTGACACCGAAGTTGAGACATTCCTCTTTGTTTCAAGCCGAGTGTTTTGTTGTGCCAGTGCAACTGTGACACAACTTGTGGCAGCGTGATGCAACTTGTGATCGGAGACTTTTGTGGATTGCTTTGTGGCCTCTAGTAAGACTGTGACTAAGCTAGTAAACATGTTCGAAACGACGCATTGACCACTTGGGCAAGAGCGATTCTATTATAGGTCTTTGACGTAACCGTTCCACGAAGGCTATCGGGCTGTCCGCGTCATATCAGGTGATTATTTACAACGCCTACATCATAGCACTGACCAAGTTCGTGGTCCATTGCAAGGATTTTGCGTACAAGAGCAATCCAAAGAAGGTGAGCAGACACGGGAGCCTAACAACGATTGCAATAGAAAAGACCAATAGCGATGGCCTCCAACCTAATAACGATTGTAATAGAAAAGAACCTTGCTGTCTTTCATGTTGGGTGTATTTTGCTGTGACCTT